TATATATGTATATATAAAAATCCCTTGTATTACTTGCCAGAGTCATCTGACATTTTCTATTACAATGAATCACCACTTGTCGATTTTCCTTTTTTCCCCGCAATGCCTGCCATCCCAAACACATTACAGCAGCCTGCTGCTTTAGATATTAACACGAAAAGCCACATTAGTTTAATCTTATCAGACAGGGATGTTCTGCTGACCCCTCAAAAGAAGAGCTTTTGACCTTCTGTATACCCCCTACTGTTAATCGCTGCCAAGAATACCAGCCCCATAAAGACCTCCAACTCATTAAAGTCTTTTCATTTTCAAACGAGCATTCAGTTCCCAGCAGTGAGCTGAACGCAACTAAATGAACCTTGAAGTGGCATTTCAACTGTTCCTGTTAGTGACCATGGTAGACAGTTTTGTCCTCCCTGTGATGTGGGAGGCAGCTGGAGGGCAGGGTGTGATGGTATTGGAGACAGGTATCTGTGCCTTTACCAGACTCCAGACTGCATGCTTCACTGATAAAAAGGCTAATCAAACGTCTCCAAAACTCACATAAGAAGTAGGAATGGGGAGATGCGTGAAAAGTTGCCAGAAGGAATAAAATAACCTATTCAGTAGCTCTGCACACTTTTCGCATGCTTCCCATCCTGCTATCATCCAGTATGTTTACTGCATCCTGCCACAGTGCTTCCCATTTGCCTTTTCTAGGACACTTCAGCAGTTTCAACCAAGAGATCACGCAATTCAGGCATGTAATTCAGTTTCCTCTAACAAAAGAGAAGATACTGGGCCACACATGCAACCAGATAAAAATCCCAGACATTTAAAAGAACTCTAGACATAGTTGTTGTTTTTTTCTTCAAGTAACTGTGCACCGAGATCCACGTGTTTTCTCCAGAATAAAGCCAGATCATGTGAACTCTGTAAAGGTTTAATCCTCTACTCTATTCATTTCTATTGGCAATCTAAGAAAAAAAAATATCAAAAAACAGAATTCCTAAGTTGAACGAAAGAATTGGTACTTACGTTATCCCTATATAAACACTAGCATTTCTATGATTCGGCAGAGTAAGCATTTCATATTTTGACACTTCATTAAAATATCAAATGAATAATCAATTCCCAGGAAGCTGACAACATTATTAATCCCATCTCACTTGACAGTATTTTCAATTCCCTAAACATATATACCAATACACTCTTTTTAAAGCTACAATTTCATTTAATTGGAAAGATGATTTACTAAAACCAGCAACCAAATACTCGCCTACGTGCATTACTCTCACGCTTTCTTTAGGCAGAAGCAGCCATGGCTGCAGAATTTCCTCAGCAGCAAAACTGTGCTTTTGTTCTTCCTCGGCCCCCACTAAAAACTCATACAGAGAGAGCATATATGAACTTGGACTGTTTCAACACTATAAAGTTTTGTACTACTGACCCTGAGTGAGAAAGAGCAGCACAAACATTTGGAGGAGCTTGAAACAAAGAAACAGAACAATTTTGTGCACACACATGTTTGTGTGTCACCATTACAAGAGAATTGTTGACATATACCTTATGAGCTTTCTGCTATTGTCTCCAGAACGGGAGACAACACAGGAAGATGATAATCTTCACCATGAAAAAAATCCACTCCAGAGGTCTTGGAATTGGTCAGCTCTAATATTTTAGAATTAGTAACATATTATATACAAGAATTTAAATATAATCTGGAACACAGTAATTCTTCAAGGAAGTTTAGCATATATTAATTTTTGTGTTTGTTATAAGCACATTTTCAAGCAGACAGAATAATAAAACTGACACAATAAGCAAGTTCTGCCCTCTGTTTAGTATGCCTCAAGGAAAGCTGAAAACATCCCCAATGAATGTGTAATTGAAAAATTCATGTCTTCTTGCTCCCTTAAGAGAAATTCCATCCCAAACCCCAAATTCCAACTAAATACACCAGAATCACATCTGATCCAGAAGCATTCCCCTGCTCTAGGGAAGGAAAAAAAAAATAATAAAAAAATTCACTCTCAGTTCTAAGAAGGATGCAGGACACGTCCAGAAACAACCATGCAATCTCTTCTCTCTACAATCCTTGTACTCTTGTGCTAAGATCAAATCAAGTTAAGTTACTAGCACACACAAAGAAAAAAAAAAATAAGAATTGCTGTTGGCAGGGCATAAAAGATAACTAAGTTACCCAAGATCTCCTTCTTTATTAAACAGGATGAGATTTTAAATGTTGTGTCTCACAGACATGTAGAATTCAAGTTCAGAAAGAATCATTAAGTTTCATCTAGCACGCACTTAGTCAGCTAAGTAACTTCCATTTGGCTAACATACCTTTCCAAAAAGCATCTAGTCTTGCAGTGAAAATATCAAGAAATTGAGCAACTAAGATGGTAAAAATGTGACTAACTTCATATTCAGTTTTGACTTGATTCAGTATGTATCTTACAAGGAAGAAAAGAATCAGATAGAAGGAAGAAATGTTTTCTGATTCCCCACTCCCACCCTAACAGCTGAGCCATTTATAAATCTTTCATATAGGACACTACAATACCAGTGACATTTTAGGTACTTGCTCCACTTCTGCAGGCTTTTAGATATTTGTGCAAAGAATGAGTCATTCTGCATTTATTTTAGTGGAAACATGAATGTAAAATGTTGTGTCAGATAAAAATAGATTAAGCTTCATCATTAGTAAACATATATGAATACATAACAATTGAATTCTCTACTAAAGTGGAAGTTAGGAAAATTCTAGGCACTTTGTTAAGCACTAGAGTTTAATATACTGATTTTTAATTCCCTTTTTATATATCCTTGAACAAATTGTTATGGTTTGGTTCCACAAACAGAGTCTGTACAGCGTGAATCAAGAAACATACCCGTACAATGAGAATCCATTTGATCAGGGAGAGACCAAATCCACAGATTGCACCATACCTTCCAGCTATGGTATTTGTTATACAGAAGGATAAACAAAATCCAATCCAGTTGAAAATAAACGCCACTATAAAATAAAAGAAACAGTAGCTTCTGTTAATCTGTATAGCTAAGCAAACAGACTTAACATTAATTTCACTTTTAAACTAATAAGGACATGCTTACACAGTCAATAATTCTCTTCCGGTAATTCAGTCTTTCAGAGATTGACTTTGAACCCAGACATTCCCCATGGTAGAGTCACTTAATAACAAAGCAAATGGTAAACAGGTTGGAACCTACCACTTTCAACAAGAGAAAATTCCAACATAAAAGAAAGTATTACATTACTACAGAAATCTAACCAAATGACACTAGGCATGAAGGGTAAATGTAAACAAAGGACAATAACATACAAGACTTGGACTAAAACAAAGAAAAAAAACCTTTGCTACCCTTTTATACCAAAAACATAGTTACATGCACACATACGTGCATGCATCAAGGCTGCATATTCAGCTTTATCCAGTTTGGACTGAACAGAATAAAAAGTATCTGCTCTTGCTCTGTAAACATAGTATAGAAATGAAGATAAGTTTAGAAGTTGATGTTTCGCTGGTTACTGTCTTCTCTTTTAGATGTATATTCAAGCATAAGACATAAGAAGCCTTGGTTTACACAGAAGCTTAAGAAATCAAGAAACAAAAAGGACATTGAGCATAACTACCACTGTTACTTCAATTAAAGTTTCCTATCTGCATAGGTACTTGGCAATCAGCAACATCATCTGTATTCACTTCCGTTTGCATGCATTAGGTCAAAGTGTGGGAATTCCCAATAAGGTGACATCTCAGCTTTGGGAGTAATTGAGGGCAACTAAAAAAAAAACAACCACCAAACAGAAGAGCTGGGGGAGCTGAAGAAAGACGACAATTCAGGAGTTCTGGAGAGGACAAGATAGTGGAAAGTTGAAAACATTAGGAAAGCTCACAGCAAACACAAAGAACACTGAAGAGGCAAGCAGGAAGAGAAGGAGGGCAGAGGGGAACAAAACCCCTGCACACAAATCCTTAATGTTTTAAATCCCCCAAATCAGGGAAAAAACAAAACCCACATAAAATTCAGACAGGAAAAAAGTCTGTCTTTTCAGTAAGAATTTGAACACTTATAGCAAAACATTAGGAACAGAAAATTGGTCAATAGTTTTCTTAAATAAAAGTTAATTTGGGAGGATTATCTATAAACCACCACATTTTCTGTAATTTAAAACCTTGTTAAAACTCCTCCAACAATCCACATGAAGATGTAATGATGTGCCCGCAAATGCAAAATTATTCTGTAAAAGTGCAGTGGGATTCCATGAACTGCAAACAAATTGAAGTTCCAAGAGATGTTCTGGAAGACTTTACATTTACAAAGTCATTTTGTACAAGTGAGAAAACATCTTGCCTCGGACAGAGCTATAGGTAACAGACGGTGGCAATGAGAAAGCTTACTTTTATGCTAATTACTAATCTAAAAACAAAACAAAAAACCCACAAAACCCAAACCCCACAACCAACAACTCTGAATAAATGCTGATCCAAACTGGCATATGCAGAGAAGGAAGGGGGAAAAAAAAAAAAACCAAAAAAAAACCCCACAGCATTTCTGTTACATAAGAACTACATTGTGACCCTAACATTTACCTGTCTTTCCAAAACACAAGAAAAGCATTTACATTTGAGAAAACTCGGACACATTGTTTTGAAAACAGGATTTCCCTATTTTAAGCAAGCTCTCCAAATCCACCATACTTTTAAGAGTGACAGATTTAGAAGCTGCTTCTTCAACGCATCTCTGTTCTCAGCGTAACAGCTTACTGCTCTCTCTTGTTCTCCCTGCTACTCAAGCTACAAAGGGTGACTTTGATTATGGTTCCTAAGATAGGTGTGCTAAAATGGACAGAAGACAGACATGTTTCTAATGGACTGTGCAGACTACAGGAATTCCCAGAATACTTACAGTTTTAATAGGTATATATTAAAAAAAAGGATTTTTATAGCACCTGAAATAATTCATACATGTATTATAAAAATTACAGATTTCCCAATCATAAATATAAGAGGGGAAAAAAAATTAGTTCTTATAATCAAAGTTGAACACAATGACAATTTTACCATCCTTTCAATTTGAGCTTAAGGAATATTCAAAATAGGACCCAGTCATTGGATAAGTATTAAATGGTTATTTAACACCGAGTTATTTGCTCAACTCTTGAAAGAAAAGGCATCGACATGTTCCAACACTGTTCACAGTAGTTTTTTACCCCGTTAATCAGCATGCTGTTCCATCAAGTTACACAAGCAGACAAAGCAAGCGGGCAAGAAAAGGCATGAACTATACAAGTTATAAACTATGCAAGTTCATACATCCAAATAAAACTGAATTGCATACAGAAGAAAAACCTCGCTATAATTTTCTGTCTGTAACCATCTGCTAGAAGAATTCTGCAGTGAGGACCTAATCAAAATGCCCCGTCTTCAGCAGTATGAGGAATATATTACTTCCCCCTCTGTAAAACCTAGGCAACATTATTAGGGAGATTCTCCCAACATTGCCTTGGCATTGCATCATTTTAACAAACTTAAGATGGGTAACAATAATGTCAACATGTTTCCAGTCCTTCCTATTGCTTCTCTCTCACCTCCCCAGTGTCCTATCGATACTTTGAAAAATCATCTTCATTGTCGCATTCTGGTTACAAAATACTTTATTTCCTTTCAGAAATGCATCTCCAGTCTCTGAGCAGACTGTAACAAATGAGACTTTTATCTATCTTCCAATTGTTTTTCTCTAAATTAAGATTAGCCTCATCTACCTACCTGTATATCTTTTTCCATCATGATTTCCACATGTGTCTAGTCATGGAAGTTCTCTGAGCCTTATGGCTTACAATGCATCTGGTAAGAGTTACTAAAGTTAATTTCTGTATAATACCTGTTGTTCATAATTGTTAATAACTGTTGTTAAGAGTGTCAAAAGGATGAGGTCAGACTCTTTTCAGTGGTGCCCAGCGACAGGTTAAGGGGCAATGGGCACAAACTGAAACTCAGGAAGTTCCATCTGAGTATGAGGAAAAACTTCCATACTTTGAGAGTAGCAGAGCACTGGAAGAGGCTGCCCAGAGAGGTTGTGGAGTCTCCTTCTCTGGAGATATTCAAAACCTGCCTGGACGCAATCCTGTGCAACTTGGTGTAGGTGAACCTGCTTTGGCAGGGGGGCTGGACTAGATGATCTCCAGAGGTCCCTTCCAACCCTCACCATTCTGTGATTCTGTGATAATTTTCATCCCTGTGCTGCCATAAAGAAGCCATAGCACAAGTTTCTCCATCAAGCTGAGGGAGAAAATAGAACAGTGAGGGGAGAGACTAGTAAAAGGAAGTATCTACTATCTTCTCTAGAAGTACCAACTTCCTTCTCTATCTACTAGAGACAACTAAATCGTCATGCAAGTTTCTTGCTGCAACAAACACAATCCTCCACTATCTGCCTGAATCCACCCACTTTGTGAAATGTAAATGACACCATTCAGCAGTTCAAGAGATGACCTCGTCCTTCATACTGCTTCAGCTTCCCATGGCATTCTCATACAGACAACATTCTTGATCTGACAGTAATACAGATACTCAAAGAAAGCCATTCCCAAAAATGAGATAGAAAGTCTAACAAGCTGCTACAACCACATCATGGTTTTAACTAAAACAGCGTTCTTAACTTCCGTTTGCCCATCCTCTTTATGCAGCCAGGTTCTGTGTTCATCTTCTAGACTCTCACTGCAAGACTAACCACTCTGCACCAAGATTTCCTATCCCAGAGATTGCTAGCATTTAGATTCGTACTTGAGTCCAACTTTCACCTATTGTCCTCTTTCCTTTAATAAATTTCAGACATCAGATGAACCTCATGCTGACAGCACTGGTATCATGATTTCAGTCTCTTTCTTTGCTGCTCTAGCACGATAGAGACAAGTGAGACTGATAAAACTATGGTTTTTGAGTTTTATACGTTCCTGAAGTGACACGAGAACAAAGTAAGTCCACATTAATGTAATTCACATAAAAAGAATATAATCATTAGAGTTATTTCCTCATGACAACAAAGCTCGTAATGAAAAACAGGTAAGAAGTTGCTTTTTGGAAGGAGGACGGTTGGACTAAAGGTCTTTTTTAACAAAAAGTCTTCTTGATCTCTAATGTAGCACCCACAATTATTATGTGGTACTTGTATTACTCTATGGTTCGCAGTAAGATAATCCCAGCCAAAATACAAAGCACAAGACATTCTAAATGTTGGAAAAAACGTAGAATCTGACATGCAAAGTAAGTCTATCCATCAACTATTTTCACACCCAAAGCCCTCTTCTGAGTGGCAGCGGTCAGCATCGGATTTTTCATACCAAAAATTAAAGTTAGAAATCAAAGTCTTTTATCTATCATCAATTCCAAAGAAGCTGGAGTAAAATAATTCAACTTGGTTTTGGACAAACAAGCTTGTACCTGTTGCCATTCTTCATTTTCCAACAACTACAGGGGCAAGGCAAAGATGATGTACGAAGCTGTACTTTGTAATTAATAATTTATTAATCCATGCTTGCTTTTTGTCAGTGCTCATTAAGTTGCAAAGCAATATTGAAACATCCTTTCCTTCTACTCCCACAATTTACAGTAAAAACAAGAAAACTTATTTTTTCAAGTCATTAAGCAATCTTGTGCAAAGGTTTTGAGTTGTACATATTGCAATACATGAGAAGATGCAACAATGACAAGCATACTAGAACAAATCTGCTTTTCCTCAATTGTTCTTGCACTTCACTTGCTGATCTTTTTTACTTAGCTTTCCACACCTGCACTGTTCCACATCAACTGTCTTAAGTTTACATTCAGTATCATGAAGAGAAGCCAGTAAAATTGGTCTGGAGACGTATGTTGATTCCAAATTTTAACCATGGCTCAAGCCTGTGATAAGATTGTAATGGCAACTATATACACAAAAAGCAACCATGCTCAGTTACACCGATCATTTCCCGTTTGTCTGTCCAATGACTTATTATTTTAATAAACAGCAAACACCAAAGAGCTCAATGTTTCATATCTGGTCTAGGTTTACTAAGCATACTGCCATAAATAATACTTTCCAGATCTTCACGCACCACTAGAAATTATTCTTCCCATTCCTGCATAGAATTTATTCCATTCTTGAACTAGGACACATTTTTGCTTCTTCCTGAAGGGCCCACCTGAAGTCTGATGATGATCACTACAAGCATTTGCTATCAACTTCAACAGACTTTTTTTTTTCTACTCAGTGATGCATGTTCAAAAACTTCCCTAGGCAATTTATTTCTACTGCTTCATTATCCTTGTTGGTAAATTTTTCTTAATGCCCAACTAGAAGCTTCCTCGTTCCGATTACCTTGTATTATATCCAACGTGTATGGAGAAATCATGTAAATCAAATTCTTTCTACATTAACAAAGAACTTACGTGATTCTGTATGAAGGTCAGTCAGGCTCCCCTGATAACCAGAGATAAATAAGCACTCCCAAAACAGTTCCTTTATCTCCTTCCAACATTTGCAATTTCAGTCAAATGACTTCCCCTCAGCTTCTCTTGCATGACTAAGGGAAACCTGCATAACACCCTTGATGTGGACATACAGAAGTCAGGTTTCCTAATTTCACACAGAGGAATTCTACTGCTGGACGTTTAGACCATGCTTACCACTCCTTGGGAAGCGTACAGCAGGAGGCTGTGCTCACCCTGAGCTTCTGCTACAACTCTGCCTTCCAACTTTTGCCTGCCTGAAACCCCCCAAGTAGATATCCTAGCTTGTGTGCAGTTTATGGACTGTCTGAAGCATCTAATAGCTTTGAAAACTATATGAACATTAGTTTACAAAATTTTGGTATGATTACTATCTGTTCCAATATAGTATCTAGGACAATAAGTACATTTACATTTCTCCACATCACGAGATTTTATCGGTGTGAGTTGTACACAGTGTTTAAATGGCTCAGCTGTTGTTCAAAAAGAACAAATCAGATCTCCGTATGAGAACTTAAACTTTGGCTGTATGATCGAACATTTTCTCCATTTCTTCCTCCTTATTAACACACCTGTGAGGTCCAAATATTCTGTTTTCCTAGGTTGCAGGAACAACCCAAAACTCCCTTATATGGTTTCAAAGAATCCAGATGAGTACCGCAATTCCTTCTGGGGCCCAGAGGTGAAAAGGCTGGTTTATATTTCTAAAGCACTCCTTAAATATAAGGGAAAACCATATAAGCCCAAATGACCGCCTTCACATAATGAACCAGGATGAGCCAATCACACATGATTCAAAAGATTTCCACTATGAGCAGATTAACATGAAAACACAACCCTTTAGGCTTTGTTTCTACTATGCTGTACAAAGCACAGCTGACTTAAAAATACATAAAAGAGAAAAATATATTAAGTGCTCTGACAGTCAAGTTTACTGCATTTCACATTCATAGCAAAATGAATATATTCACTAAAATATCCATTTACCTCAAAATCAGAAACTGACAAACACCAGCCCTGACCATTAGAGAGCAGATTCTTTGCTCACCAACATAATCACAGATTTCAAGAGCAACACTAATTTCTTAAAACATATGATGTTACCATGTATTAAAATAAAACAGGTTGTTTTTCGTATTTTTCCACTAAGTTTCTGAATCAAGTGCTAAAGCAAAAAACCCACCTGTTCACGCAAAGGACTTTTATTCTTTCAAGTATACTGTCTCATTCTATGTAGTTATGCTAAACAGAACAGTACTTTACAACTTAGATGCGAAACAGGTTTGTAACCTGCATGCACCAAGCTCCTAAAACAAACAAGACCCCCAAACAAACAGATCTGGTCAGCAGATGGCCTCAAGACAGCAATTTTATGCAACTTGGGCAGCTACCACTAGATGGTAGTTACATATCACTAGTTGATTGCAATATGCAGGTACGCTCAGTAAAAAGTTTATTTTATTATAGTTCAGTTGAATAAAATGTAATAAAAAAAGCTAACTTCACTGTTTTATATTTAAAACAAAGGCAGTCTGCCACACACACCCCCTCCCCCCCCCAAGATCTTTCTACCAACGCTGTACGTAACAGTCATGGGAGGAGGTGGGAAAGTACATCTGGAATAAGCCATTTGTTCCATGCTGCTCTCACTAGGGAATAGATCCTGACACTGTTCTCCTCCTTTTTAACTGAGTGAACTTATTCTAGGCTCTCTGTGATCTGCTACCTCTACTTGCAATGTTTAAACATATCCCACCTTGAAAAAAAAAAAAAACCCAAAGATAGCCATGCTGTAAATTTCATTTTAATTCTTGCTCTCTTAAATCTACATACATCAACTTTATACAGACTTACATATCCTTATAAGAGGGACAGGAATACACCACCCACTATTTATGATCTACCCTTATTAAGTTAAGCTCATTTTTCATTTAGTTCTCCAATTTCCCTGAGAAACACTACTGAAAATTAGTATTACAGGTCTATAAATGCTATGAGTTTTTGTTAACTTCTCATATTATGAACACAAACAAGTAAATTTTATCAATTTCCATATGTAACCGGTATCCATAACAGCCAACACAGACCCCAATTAGGTACACACTTGCATAAATATCTTACAACGTGTAACCATTCATTTTATGCATTTCATTCATAGGCAAGCAAAGTTGGCAGTAACATAGTCTCAGAACAATCAAGAAAAATCATGATCTACAGAGTATTTTTGTCAAATGTGTAAAAGGTTCTGGGCGTGCAGTTTTGGATTTCAAGGACTTAAAACATATTAGAGCCAACAATCTACTTGACCTCCAAGCGCAGCGCTAATGAAGACCTGAACCAGGATTTAAAAACAAGAACAAGTTCACACAATACAGAACCTAAACAGGTTAAATACAAAAAGTTGTAGCACATAGGGAAGGGGAAAAAAGAAGGGCAAAAAAAAAAAAATGAACCCATACCCTCCTTTGCCCCCAAGAATATATACCTTTTCTATGGTCCCACTACAGAAAGAGGTCAGACTACAAAACTTGTTTTGTTACCCTACATATGCATTTAAATATTTGCTATGTGAGGCAGACACATAAATTTTTATCCCAAGATACAAACACCACATTGTCCTAGTACATCATATGCCAACATGAAAAAAAGTTCTGTGAAAGTTCTGTAACCTGCATCTGTAACAGTTAAATAAAGAGACTGTGAAAGACATTAAAGAAAAAAGGACTAAAATGAGACCTAGGTTGAAAGACGTACAGGAGATTTCAGTGAATAATCAATCAGCTTTCATCCTGATGAACGCTAAAAGGAACAGCTACATTCCCAACACCACGGTTCCATCCAGGTTGCCAAACACATTTATTTCAGAAAGGGAAAATATCCTCAGAAATTAGAAAGAAATATGCAATTGGCAAAACAGAAACAGCTTCCTTCTACAAGTAACTTATACTGGCTAAATCTAACTTTGCTCAATGCAGTACGTAAGTTACAAGACATGCACAGTGCACACACAGAGTACCTGAAGAAGTGCTACAGTAGAGCTGGTTGCAATCAGGCATTACCTGAAGACAGTACATTTTTATACACTAGTAGTCAGCTCGATTTGAAAATGAGCATGGTTGGATTTGTTCCAAAAATCCATCCACAGCTATTTAATTCACTATGCTAATATCAGCAACTTATGTGGCACATCATCTCTCTCTCAAATTTTTTCTACTTAAAAAACAATTGCCAGATTTCTGTGATCCAGTCTTTAAGTCAAGGTGGTAGTCCAACTAGAAGATGACAGAATTTCCCAATTCATAGGTAACAGCGCAGACCTGCTATGCCTCAAAACATTTGCTATGATTTTGCTTTGTCCCTTTATCTGTGACAGATGCCACAGAAAAAAAGTGCAACATATTTGCTACATCTGGAACAGGAAGTGTTTGTATCTGTGTACAGGTAAAAAAATCCATTCATTACAGTACATTAATGTAGTTTATCACAGCTAACTTTTATATTCCATAGAAAAAAGGTACAGTTAAGATATACCTCCGTAGGTCTGGGATACAAGATAACTTACTGAAAAATGCCAACATGAAGATGCCATCATTGCCCACTCTAAGCTGATCTGCATCACTGAAATCATCCCGTGGTGGATACTCTTCTTCCTGGATTTACAGGTTAGTGATAATTTAGTGAAAAGTTTATTTTAGAGTAACTATCTGTAGGATGAAAGCATTAATTATGTTTCTAAAGCTAGAAGAAAATTGACATTTCTGTAACATGTCCACATCAAGGAAGTTTTAAAAAAAATAATTCATATCTATAAAACAAGTCTTATTTGTTGCTTACATTGACAGAGCCCAAATTTTCCGTAAAAGTTTCTCTAGAAGATACATAGATACTGCCTATTCCTCTTAAATGAAGCTAGAAATTATTTCAGATGAGCACTTTGACAATCAAAACCAACAGAAATATCTTTTTTTTACTGTAACTATCTTGATATGCAGCCAAGCTATTAAATATGTTTTGGAAAAGTCATCTCATTGGATGTTCTATTGTTTTTCCTGCCAGAAAAGTCTTTTAATGATTCCCAAAATGCAGAATAAAGTTTTAGAATAAGGTTGGTATCTTAAAATAATTTGCTGATGCAACAGCACTGCACTAACCAATGTGACTATCCTATAACCCACAAAAAAATATATGCAAAGCAAACAAAACCTCCGGGGACACTAGAGGGCGTGAGCACATTAAAAGTGTTTAAAACTCGTGTAACCTCAAAACCACAATATTTTAAGTCAAACAAAAGTAAACAGATGTCAGTCAAAGCAATCCAAAGATTTCTCCCACCGTGTCAAAATACTAGATCTTAAAATACTGAAAGTATGAGTTTGTTTTTTTTCTCAGTACTTGATTTTCAACAGAACTTGGCAGATCTTAGGTATGCAGTTCTGTGCACAAGTAAAACACTGCTGCAACCGTAGACCAGCAAGCGTAAAAGTTTTCATGATGACAGCACTTACTAAAGGGAGCCTGATGAAAACTGTAAAACCAGTTAAACACACCATTTTTATACTTCAATGGATAACTTCAAAACAATGCAGGATGATACCAGTTAAACAATGCTGTCAGTAGCAGCAGTAATATGGTCTAGACATAAGCATGAATAACATTCTTTTCCTATTTTTTCTCCAATTAACTGTAATGTATTAGAATTGAGATAAGAAGTGACCTATTAAAAAAAAAAATTAAATCAAGGGAGATCAGTTCAAGTGAGATTTACCTAGCTGCTTCATTGACAGCAAATGCTTACTACTAAGACAATGTAATTCTGATTTTAACACATTATTCAGTCACTGTATCAAATGTTCTTTTGTATACTAAGTTCGTAACTAAAAGGGCATTAAACAATCACAGTGATCTAAAGCTCTGTCATGTGATTGACACGTTCACCTTTGTCAACACAGCAAAATAATTTACCAGGGTATAGCGATTATGGTTAAAAATGTGCTAGAACGAACTGTACCAACTCAAGGCAGACAGCTTTACCCTTCATAACGCGGCCGTGAAATTCCAGCTGCGCTCGTTATTTCAGATTAATTAGCCAAGACTCTGCATCAGATAACTAACTTTAAAAATACTGCTAATTCAGATAGACAATTCCAAGGAAAGCACAAAAAGCTAGTTGAACAACAATCTTAAGGGTCTATAAGTCAACCTTACATAATTTCAGACGTCCCTAAATGGTCATCTTAAGTGACTATGAAAGCATTAGTCTATTAAGCCCAACTTTGCTGCAGCTACAAAACTGTTGGGGGGAAGGGAAGGAAGGGATGAAAATACATTAAACAAAGCTGCATTTGACTGTGCTTATCTCTGAAATGTATGCCACAAAAGTTCATTTTTGAAGTCAGGACAACAAAAAGTATTTTAATTTTTAATTTCAGAATGTCTGTAAAATCCCATATAAAATAATTTTTGGACTTTTTTTTGAACTGTCTGCTAACTACTGTACTTCATACTGGCATTTCCAAACCAATTAGTGAATTAGGCTCTATGTAAAATGTTGCTTCAGAAAAAGAAAATTTTGCTGAACTACGGTAACGAGTTTAGCAAGTTTCTCTATATGCACAGGCTTCTCTAAGGTTTACACATTTGAGAAATACAGGTCAATATACATCCCAGTGACATGAGAGCAGACATTTGCAAGTAGGTACCATTGTAGTAAGTGTGAATAAGTTGTAATTTATCACACTCCACGTCAAGACGGAATTACATTAAACAGAGCTCTATTTCCTGTCTCCAAAAATTGGTATATGAAAATTACCAGAATGTTTAAGAAATGAAATTGTTTCCTGTGCTTAAATCATGGTCAGCCTATATCTACATCATTTAGTATTATGTGGTTTTATGATTGGCCCTGCAGAGGGAGGACACTAATTGGCCACTGCTCAAGCCCCACTCATATCGGCTGTCTTTCACAGTGCTCTCATCTGATTCAGTGTCAACTGCCCCAGCCTTTCTTCAAAATGTAACTGTTTGCCACCATTCATTGAGGAATGAGAAGGGACAATGAAGAATGACTGTCCTCTCTGCTGATACTATGAAATTATGTTTAGTTCTAAGCAATACTTCTATTAGATAGACATGTATCTATGAGAGTAATTATGTATTTTATTTATATACATGTATTTTCCTTTTAATGAGAATGTCATATAACAACACAGACAAATCCATAAAATATATAATACTGTTTCAGTATCTCATACTGATTTTGGATAAATTTAGCCATGCTAAAGATCATGGACAATATTTCTTGTTTGTTAAATAAGCTGAGATCTTTATAAACAGGAAACTTAGTGTTCCTATGACCACAGAAACATCTAAACAGCAAAATATGTTATCAATATGAATGGCATGTTACACAGAGTAATTTCTCTAAGCAAAAGAACATGAAATGGTATACAGCATCTATTGACATTGAATCTATTAACTCCTCTGAAACTACAGCGGTCTCTGTAGTACCCTGCAAAAAAAGGACTGTTTTTTCTCACCAATGCTTTTTAGCATCTTTCAAATTGAAACCTAGCATGGCATATAGGGACACAACTACTTTTAACTGAGTAAAGAACTTGAGTTTTCAGGAACCCCTTGGATAACTAAACTCATATACTCTTCTCCATGCAGTGGATTTACAGAGAAACACTTCTAAGGAAAGGGTCAAATTACTTAATAAAGATAATATTATGATATCATAAACGATACCTTCAGCATACAAAACAATACGGAGAAGTTAACGGTGGGGGAAAAAAGGCACAATGAACCCCAGCAGCATTCGTTTGCCAGCAGGAAAATTCATAGTTAAAGTCTAAACTAGAGAGAACTATACCATACCTCTGGACGACTGAGGAATATTTCATCAAACAGACTCCTAGACTCCCTAAACTGGGCGTGCTAAGCATGTAAAAACAGAAAAACATAAGACAAATGCAACTGAAAAGCATTAAGTAAAAGCCATTCATTGCAACATACAAACAAGTCATTTAACTGTTAGCAATATTTTTGTCCATTTAAATTGACCTTTCAAAACTGACCTTCAGAATTTGAAAAGGAAAACACTAAAAGCCAGCGTAACTAATGCTATCACTACTGATGACACAGGGCTGCTCCAATTTCTTTAATACATTGAGCTGTCTGGGAGCATTTGAAAGAAATAAATGCTTATATACAATCTATTCTTGTAAGACAAGCTACACAAAGAACTACAAAAACAAATACTGAAAGTTTCAGTAAATGTTAAGTTTAGATTGTTCTTACAATCTGTGGATGCAGGGCCTATGATGAAGTCTTTAATATGTTTTTTGTAAGATCCCTACATGACTCAGGGGAAAAAATATGAAAGTTGTTTATTAAATGTGCTGCCTTTTTATACCATTTTCCTCTCTTTTGCTCAATGAGTAGGTTTGTAGCCTTCTTTACTGCACGCTTTGGACGATACCAATTATCAACCTCGTGTATCACTCAAGGTAACATAAGGACATTTAACTCTTTCCAATTGTTCACATTACTGTAGCAAAGAGGCAATATATCCTCATCTTACAAGGAAGAAACTAGAGGCACAGATGATAGCAGAGTTCACATTCACAAGAGCACTAATTTCATAAGACTTAAAATAAAAATTGAAAAAAACTACATTATATCGTTTGCGTATGTTTTGCCAAGTGTGTAATATACAAGTCGGATACTGTCTGCAGCTGTCACTGCTTGTGATCTTCAAGACAGTGAAAGCGAGAAAACAATTAACTGTATACCAGTAGTGCAAAGTTTAAGTCATTTATCTGTTCTTCCATGGCTATTCAGAGCTAAGGATCAAAATCCTTCCCCTCAAGATGGCAAACCACCACTCTAACCACAACATGACCTTTTTTCCTCATTCTAGTCATCTGGCAGATTAAGACAGTCTTATTACACAGTCTTAGTCCACTCCAGTATAAGTCCATCAGTAGTATTTAATAAGGTAGCGATTTTGTGGCAGTATCACGTGGTAAGGTAATTAAAATGGCATTAATTAAAACTGCACTGGCACATAACTTTATTATCAGTTACAAAACTGGAACTCAGCTTCAGCATTTCCTACTTTTTCCCCAAATCTCAGCTTTGCAACCTTAACACTGTTTCTTTAACACAGCTTGTGTGAGTGCATGCGTGTGGTTTAAAACAAAAAACAAACAAAAAAATATCCAAAAAAATACCCCAAAAAACAGCAGAAATTCTATCAAACTTGAGATCTTTAGCAGTTGCAGGACTGTGGCTTTTAGGTACACTGTGTAGATTTCTGATACTAACTCAGTACTGCCGTAAGTCTACAACTTTTTAGCCAATCTCTGCTTTGGGGGAATGATGGTGTGTTCCTACTGATTTTTCATAAGTAAGTGAAATTCTTGTGGTATCAGCACCTAGCTCTTAAATGTCAAGTTCTGCTATATGTTTTGGAAAACCAGACTATGGAAAAGTTTGTTTCTCACTTTGTCACCATAACCTACTCTCCTGCCTCTTAACTCCAGATTCCTTCTTCCTCTCTACTCCTGTTTTCTCACACACCAGCTTCAGCTCCTTTCCCAGTACCACATTTTGTCCCCACTTGGGTTCCTTTCTCCATCAATCCCAGTTTATCCTTCTCCCTCCTGTTTCTCATTTAAATCTTTCTGTACTCCTTCCATACCACTGCTTTCCATTCACCCTTGTCTTTTCTTATTTTGACTTAGACCCATCCTCTCTGATCCCTGCCACTTTGAGCTAGTTACCTCCTTGCCCAACCAAAATCAGACTTCTCTTCCCACAACACATAAGCTCCAGGGGCTCAGAGTCATTGTCCTTCTTCCCTCCATATAACATTGATGCCCTTGCAGTTGAATCAAGTGGCTTTCCCCTTCCCTTTTAACCAAAGGCTGAGAATAATAAAACTATCTCAGGGCACACCAGAAACTCCTATTTCCCAGTTCCAGTGTTTTTACCAAAAGCACTGAAAAGCAGTCATAAGGTGTATCTACTTTTAGTCCTGTATTCCAACTCTGACACCGAACATTCAAGAATGTTCCCTGGGGACAGCACATCTGCAAGTTCCATCTCCTTCAGAGCTACGAGCGGTCTAAACTTGTTCACGCAAGACAATCTCCACACATTTACTAAATTTGAAGCTGTAGTCCAAGCTGTGGAAACTCATTTTTCAAAAACTTGTCATTTGGCCAAAACCAGGCAGATTTTCTGAGGAAGGGAGAAAGATGTTTCTGACATAGGGACCTGAACTTGTGAGAAAGAGAGTTCTCCAAAGTAAAAAAAGCTTAAAATGACAAGGTAAAAAAACACTAGGTTTTTTGGTTGTTGTTGTTTTTTTTGTTTTGTTTTTGTTAGCTTTATTCTTGAAATTAGCTGAACCCCAGCCTGAAGTTTTCCCTGTGAAATTCAGGTCAGGGAAGACTGTTTGTACGTCTGAAACTTTCACCTCATAGGGTTCTAGATATACAAAGTTAAAAGAGACAAGAATCTTGCAAGAGACTTGTACATACCCTGTCTGAAGTGTCACAGGACTGGTAATGGTACCCTAAAAGTTAAGGTTTAGGTTGCTAATGTTCCAAGTAAATTTAAAGGTTTATAATTTCAGATTGAGGCTTTCATTCAGACCAGTACCTCAGCAAAAGTTTTACTTACATGACAAACAGTAAGGACAGACTACATAGAATCCATGCTCTGGTTTAAGCAGTTAAAAGGTTACAACTGGAGATCATCACCTCATCACAGAAACTTGGCAAGTAACCATTCCAATGTCCCTAGTTCCTATTGCATTTCATAAAACAGATTTGTGTAACACCTTCACTGGCAATGTTACACAAAACCATTTTAGCTTTAGCTGTGCATACCTTAAAGTGAGTGTTGTACATTGTGATTACTGCATAGCAGTCAAGGAAGGAACAGCTTCCTCCTGGGTGAGGAGAATTTTTTTTCCAGTCACAAGCACACTGCAGTCAGTAAGATTTTAAATGCATCTCAAATGCAATCACATTTGATCTTGACGTGGAGATTTTTAGTGAAAGTACTGGAAGTCTAATTTGGGTATAGTATATTATAGTCAATACTACCAAGCAGCAGAATTTCCACATTCCAAAACTTGGGAGAAAAAAATGGAAGAACTTTGCTTACAAAAATAAACTTTAACACTGAAACTGCAGATACTAATTTTCTGTTTTGAAGACTGTATTCTTTATAATGTTAATTCTTACAAAACTATAAACACTGAATAGATACCTATTACTTAGTGTTTACCATAGCTCATGGTGTGGGTTTTTTTTTTGTTGTTGTTGTTTTAAATACTTGGAACATTTATTTGAATTTCAGTATTAAAGTTTTCATGGAGCAAACAACAGGGACCTTTCCTTTTAAAAAACATCTACATTATTTGGGATTTTGCCCCTTCCAGACTGTTAGGACTCTCCTTCCTCTCTAAAGGTCTACTTTGTTCATGAATTTATTATTTTTTTTTACCATCTGAAACACTAAATACAAGCAATAATTCTACAAAGTAGCATTAGTAGTGGATACCTAATTAAAAGATGACAAAATACTGGATAAACTATTAAAACAGGGTAAAATTTGGCTTTTAAAGCTGTTTAGACAGCAGCTATGCCTCAGAAAAGAGTGAATACGATACACTTTCATAGTACTTTACAACTAACTTACACTATCTATACAAAACTTAAGCATCCAAATATTTAAATCACCAGCCCACCATCATTTTAATAAATAGGCTATAATATGGGCCCAAATTTTATAAATAATTAGATTACCTAACATGTTTCACAAAATTGAAATAAAGCAGAACTGTATCACTTACTCGTTGGGCAACTTCTGCTGCAGCAGCTGCCATTGCTGCAGCTTTGGCCTTCTCTGCTTCATCGTAAGTAGGAAGAGAGGTAGCTACACTGTATGGAGGTGGTACAGGATAAAATTCATTGTGTGTTTCTGTTCAAAATAAAGAGGTTATGCATTTTTAAGCCAGAAAGAGATCAAGAATATTAAATTTTACATGCACATAAGTACTAAGCTTTAAAGTACATTTTTTTAACACAGGGTGAAAATTGATTATATTAATATTTCAAGTTCTTGTAAGTTTAAAAAAAAACTTTATTTTTTATGAAATAAAATAGTGAACAGTTTCATGGTGCTTTTAGTTGCTACTCAAGGCAGAAACCTTAACCTAGATGCTGCAAGGAGCCAACAAATTTATGAACAAAAAAATCATATTTGCTGAGTTACATCCCTAGGCGTTCCAACCAAAGGCTTTTGGTCAAACCATACAAAAGACATGCACAGAAATATCCTAAAACAAGCTTTTAATTATCAACATCAATTACTTACTTAAGTCCAGTAATAATCATGCTGTATTTTTATTAGTATGGCCTTGTTCCTAACTCCAGTTGTTCTGTGAAAATCAGTTTTTCCGAGATTTCAATTTCACCATATTCTTTTAAAAATATTTCTTCTACCAAAAAGGACCACATACTTCAGTCTTATATATTGAAATAGTAAAACATCATCATATAGAATAGAATTCTATATTCAAATTCATTAGCAAAATGAATAAAAACATTTAAAATACACCATGAGCTTCCTCCTACAACCCATAGTAGTTTATAACAAGATTGTTTACATGGTAAAGATTTGTCAGCACAGGGCACATTGTAAAAAGGTTTGTCAGCACACCAACACAAAGACGTTATACATACGGATAATTCTGCACAGCTATGTATTATACTTGCAAACACTGTCTCAGAGAACAGGGACATAAATTGCTCCTTTAATCAACATTAAAAATTAGGTCAGAGGTTACTTTTAAAATATTTATTTGGCACAAGGGAGACACAAATCCAAGCAACTTTGCTTAAACAGGGACTTCGATGTTGCCTGCTGCTAAGTCTCACATACCCCAAAGAAAAGCCACAAACTCATGAGAAAGGGAGCAGTGAATAAATGGAAAAAAAGACCCCTGTTACTCGTTTTCCACAAACAGTTTTATCAAGAGCCTTTAAAGCAAAATGAATCTTTCTATGGCAGTATTTTCACCAATGGCACACACTTAAGAAGCTTCAGTTTTGACAAATCAGGGGGTTTTTTTGCATTTTTTGGTTTGTATTTTTTTTTTATAGAGGCAATGAAAGTTGCTAACGAGGTTTAATAATGGAGCATTACTCAAAGATGTAGATTAAATATGGAAGTGAACTACATGCAGACTTAAATAAAACCTATTACACTAATTAATGTACATCCATTTAGTCCAGTAATTTGGAATAATCTCTAGTAATTTTGAACAATCAGCATAATTTAGAAATGTGCTTCTTCCGAACAAACCAGACAAATGGCTGTGCACGAAAGCATAGCTTTTTACTGCAATTGTGTGCATACTAAAAAAAAAAAAAACCACACACACCCAAAAAAACATACTGCAGCACCGCACCACTTTGAACCAAGTGCTGATTCATACACACTCCTCCCTGACAAGCTGTTATGTCAGAAAAATACCTGAGGTGGCAGCTGCTTCTACAGCTATGCTACAGTAAGGTGGAGGGGAAGTATCTGCTTCAGATATGGCTCCTGCCTGGGGAGTCTGCGTAGTCTCTGTAGAGGTGGAAGGCTGCTCAGCTGCTGAAGACTCTGGGGGGTCATCCTCATTGTGAAGCTTAGAAGAAAAACACACAAATTTCAGATGCATTCAGGGAATACTTTCCATGACAACGTAGTACTTGCAGAACCATCTTCAAAAAGAGAGAAGACTACTCTTCAACAAAACAAAGATTATTTACCAAACAGCATGTGACTACTTTTAAGTAGTCCAGTTAAATCCTTTTAAGCAAACAGCTAAAGATAATCTTAACTGCTTCCCCTCCACCAGAAATGGATTTTTTCTCATCAGTGATGTTCACAGAGTCTTAAAAATCTGGCGTTTTTAACGTTCACTGCATGGGAAAATGCCGACTACAAAATACTTTCTATTATATTAATATTTTAACACTATTACTGTTTTTTTTCTTAAATACATTCATAAAATGTATTAACCCATTTTAAAATACAAGTGAGCAACATGTTTTACTGTATTAAACTAGAAGAAATAAAAAAAAAAAGGACACATTTCTACTTCTGTAACTGGGATTTTTTATACTCTTGCATCTTGCAGAGAGACCTCCTCCACTCAAATGCTAAGACTTTTCAAAACATTCTGCTTTTCTTTACAGCCTGGAAAGAATCCTTTCCCTATAAAACTTTAAGTTGCTGGTTTGGTTGGTTGTTTGCTTTTTTAAAATGCAGTTTTAAAAGGGTATGTTCAGTTAAGCATATACAGAAATAAGAATCTGGATAAGCAACAATGTTCATTAAAACCATGGAATTCGGATCCAGCAACTAATATCTTTTCTTAGAGAAGGTATTTTTCATTATTTTAGCTAACTTGATAACGTTTAGAATATGAATCAAATTTAAGAAGAAAGAGTACTAGCATTAAAGAAAAAGGTGCTAGTTCCCTCTAGTGTAAACTACAAGATAAGATGCCTAGAAGGCAACTACTGAAGCACCATATTTAAAATCCAGAAAATAAAGATTAGTAAGTCGAACATATCTCAAAAAAGAATTCTGCAACTTCAAATTGGTAGTTTCTATGAACACTCTACAGAAAAATATTATTTTAATTTCAGTAACAAAAATATTAAGACAACTACATTAATTACATTAATTAAATAGAATTACATTAATTTTGTATCAGGCAAAGTACAATTCGCTTACTGGAAAAAGCACATTTGGAGAAGAAAGAATGCTAAATTCCTTGTTAAGTAGTGCAACATTCATATCAAAATTGCATATATCCAGCATATATCAAAGTTCACAGAATGGCTGAGGTTGGAAGGGACCTCTGGAGACCATCTGATCCAACACCCCTGCTCAAGTAGGGCCACCTACAGCCGGTTGCCCAGGACCATGTCCAGATGGCCTTTGAGTACCTCCAAGGATGGAGACTCCACAATCTCCCTGGCCAACCTGTGCCACTGCTCAGTCACTCTCACGCTATAAAAAAATAAAATACAGAAAAGGAATGTTTCCTGATGTTCAGAAGGATCCTGGGAACTTCCTTTGTTTCTGTGTGTGCCCATTGCCCCAGCTCCTGTCATTGGGCACCACTGAGAAGAGCCTCGTTCCATCCTCTTTGCACCCTCCCTTCAGGTATTTATAACCATTGATGAGATCCCCCTCGAGTCTTCTCTTCTCCAGGCTGAATAGTCCCAGCTCTTTCAGTCTGTCCTCACATGTGAGATGCTGCAGGTCCTTCATCATCTTGGTGGCCCTTTGTTGGGCTCTCCCCAGTACGCCCATGTCTCTCATACTGGGGAGCCCAGCCCTGAGCACAGGACTTTGGCCTCTCTGGCACTGAGCAGAGGGGAAGGGCCACCACCTCCCTCCACCTAATGGCAAGGCTTTCTTTGCCCCATGCAGCCGAAGATTACCATTAGCCTTCTTTGTGGCAAGGGTACACTGCTGGCTCATGTTCAAGTTCTGCAGGTTACAAATTCCATGCTTTTCTAATGAAAAAC